AAAATAACCTCCACGACCCGCACAGCCTTAAGGAGGCCCGTATCCAGCAGTGGCTTGACAAAAGCATGGGGCATTCACAGCAAGGTTATAGTCAATAGGCAATTGGTTACAATACAAATTTAAATTCATGAAAGGGTCTCAGTGCGACAATGGCATATGCAAGCATACTAATTAACCTTTTTCCATTACGATGGTGTACGTCATCGGAATAGAATCGGTAGAAAAACTAAAATAAGTAAGTTTATCGGTACCGAGGCTCCCACAAGGCCATGCGGGAGGGCATGTGGCATGATTTGGCGCCAACTATCATAATGTGGTCGTGTCACTACAGTTCTCTGCGGTGAGTACAATGTCTTTAAAAACAATGGCGATTAGCCTTTCTAAATAAAATGTATGCTGAACCACTTGCGTGTTCTAAAAATTCAGTGGTGAACGGAACACCCACCCTGCAACTTGCAGATGTCTCGGTACAGTAAAGAGTTAAAGGAATGTAGGGCTGTTAACGTGTTATAGGATTGGGTAGAATTGTCTGATAAGTCACCCTAACGAGATGTGGGTTCTGTATTGGCCACGTTGCTGCATCTATCGCTCGTCGTGTAAATTGCATTCCGAGCAACAGAAACCTGTACACCCTGGCAATGCGATTAATTATCATCATTGAGGGCCATAATTCAGCTTAAAAATCGTTTTTCTCGTCTCAACTTTACCATCTCATTTGTATGTTATTGTTTGTGTTGTTTCTAATGTTTTGAGTGTCCATAGAATTTTCTCAGAACGAAATTTTTATAATCCTACAAACAGAATGACTCGTACGTACTTTCAACTTCTTAACACACCGTACGTAGCCAACCGTGCAAATTCGGACTCATGGGTGGCATTGGCCAAACGCCCCAATATCGGACCAGAGCGCTTGGGAGGTCGTCGGCACCGGTTTTGGCTATTTTCCCCACGTGCGTGTCTATGGCTTCCCGCACCTCAGTGAGAAAACTGTGCGCGTTTTGTAACTCGACGGCGTTTTCAGATGCGATGTGCATTAATTTTGCAATCTAAAAATGCGTGCACTGGCCGCGCGTTTGCGCGGGATACACGTCCGGGATGACGCGCGGGATGGGAGGGCTGTGACGTCAAGGAGACGCACGAACCGGGCTCGACGGCTGTGGGATGCGGGTGTACGTCATCGCGCAGAAGTGTGCCGTGACATCACCCGTGTGCCAGCCAGCCAGCCAGGCAGGCAGCAAACCTTTTTTTCCAGCAACAATATCATACGATTGTTACTTATTTAATGTTATAAATAAAATAATCTTTCATTCATTAAACTCTTGACTGTAAACATTTTTCAATCAACCTTGCCTTGCTATTATAAGACAACAAATAAGAGTGACTCAACAACAACAAAATCCCATCACAATGGGATCTATCACTCTGCGAGTCTGCAGGACCAATGCTTTCCAGCAGAATTTGTTTAAGCAGACAAACCTTGGACTGGTTTCAACTTTCTCAGTCTTATCCTCAGGGTGTAGACTTAATATAAACATATGGGTTACAATCGTACAGGTTTGTGGTAAGTGCCGTGTATACAATTATACACCCACACACACATTCACATTTAAACAGATTACAGAAACTATGAATACACCAGCAAGCTAAATGACGCACAAGTGGCGATGCAGCCAAATAACACCCCTCACATTGCTTAATCATTGTTGCCGTGAATGGTACGTATTGCCCTGCAGCAGTCTGGCCGAGAAGCAATCAACACAGTTGACAATGGAGTCCGGTAACTATGGGGGTCCTTGCATCGAATGAGCTGACACAACACACAATGTCCTATCTCGGAAAAACAATGTCACGGAACATTATACGTGCGCACACATTAGCCGGACAGCGGGCTTCGTTTTGCCGCCTACGGATCTTATCCGCCTCCCCATAGAAGGCAGGAATGATTTTGACCTTCGTATCAGCTGTATCTCGTTACTGCACTGTCAGTTCCTGTAGGCCTGTGGGTCTATCGGAATTCGCACCGTGACAGCACAACTTTTCCACTTCCCCCTCCCAAACTTTCCCTTTTCGGTCGCACGATTTAAATTTGCAGTGAAAGTCATTTAAAAAAACGTGATTGTAACGGGAGCCAGCAGACCAAAAAAAAAATGTCGAAGCGACTTCCAGCTTAAGACGAGCAAAGGGGCAGCACTCGAGTCTCACGTGAGCGACACTTGGCAAATGCCCGAAAACTCCACATTCCTACGACAGGTCGAGTCTATCGAAGGGACACAATAACCGCCGACTTCTCGCAAAGTGGCACTCGTTTCTATGGAGCCCAAAATGATGAGAAGCAGAGTCGACCACTGACCAGGATTTGCGATCGCAATATTCCAATCTTGAGCCGTGTGCTCGAGCCACGCTTCCATTGTGATACAAAATTGCCAAATAATGTGAAATCAACCATGATGACCGTCACAGGATTACAAGACAATGAAATCAGGCAGGTGTCCTCAGACCACCGAGGATTAATAATTAATTATTCAGAATCCATGCAATTTAACTATCATTACAGAGTACAACGAATCACAACACAAGCTCGTATCACAATTATTACACAATGAGCGGATTAAACATTCTGATGTATCAGTTTCCTTGGAGACCGCTTCCTCTATCCTGACACCCTTTGTCATTGTGGGTGCTAATAAAGTAACAGATTTCCATTTCAGTGTCATATCAATGCTCAGGAACATCCTCTCCGACTTTACAAGACGTAGTTTTTCAACAGGATAGTTTAATGACCAAATGCCTTCTTTCAATGAAACAAGATCATCTCTTTAGCTCTCTGGTGGGATTTTCTTCGGCAAAACGTCAGGCAAACAGCGCGCGGTATGACCCAACCCCCCATCACAGCGCCATGCAGCCCAAACGCAAAACAAACAAAAAACTACGCAGCAGTAGAAGATTTTCTGGAGCATTCAACTGCCACAGGGGCATATGCCAATATGCTGCTGGCAATTATTACTCAGCACTGAAATCTCACTGGTTTGATACACGAAGAAAAGCATGACAAAGTGAAGCAAATGGCTGGGGGCTATCCATCGATGAAAGCAAATCAAGCGAAAAACACCCCTCCATCAGCCAGCCATGGCACGTGACGCATCTGAAGCTAAAACAACTCCGTCTCCACAGCGTGGCTCATAGCGGCACCTAGAGGTGATAAATCACGCTCGGTTAAAAAGACACATCGTGTCCCGCTAAAGGGCTACAGAATCATGAAAACCATAAAACGTCATAAGATCTCACACAATTTTCAGTTAAAAAAAGAGCAATTCTATAATTTCTCTATAAATCATCCAAACAAGGCTTATAAAGTCAAATCTCTGCTCATAGCTTCATTTATGAGATACAGAATCAAAATCTTCATTTATCATGGAGAAATCTCATGAGCTGTGAAGCTCTTTTTCACAGATGACCAATAGTTTTCACAGATGCAATTATGAGATACAAATGTATACGAGATGCAATTAGAGGTCTGCTAAATCAGAGACGTAAAATGTTAACAAAGAATACGTTTTATTTAAATAAAAACGGACCGACTTCCACCGGCCTCTCCTTTCACACCTCTTTGTACTCCGCCCCCACCCCCTCACTCCCGCCAGTGGCCTCCGCTGGAGCACAGGTGGCTTTCGGTCAAAAACCCTCGGTCAACCTCTCGCTCAATGGGAGGTCACTCCTTCTCCGAGGATGCCCAAAATCATCGGAAACGCCCTCAGCACTGGTTCTCCACAACCGCCTCACACTCCACCCCCTGTAAAAGCCCAGCTTTAGGACTCGCATCTTATCCTCTGCCGAGGACTGTTTCCAAATATCCCCGTATCTTTTATGATGTCTCCTATCCACCCATAAGCCAGAGGGGTGGCTGGGTGGCTCAAGAGTTTAGAGCACTCAGCTGGCACTAGTGAGATCCTGGGTACAAATCTCGATATCAATCACCCACAATCAATAGCAGGGTCTCAATTGGAACAAGTTGATGGTCTCCACCTGCTTACTAATGACTGCACAATATTTAAGGATGTTAGGGTGGCGAGACGTTCACTACCTCGTCTTGTATACAGGAGGATGTGGGTTCGATCTCAACCCTGGTGCCAGTATATTTGAAGTTTGCATGTTTTCCCCATGGTCGTGTGGCTTTTTCACCGGGTTCTCCGGTTTTGCCCTTCACATTTAGAAACACGCGTCTAGAGTATTTGGCTGCGATACATTTCCACATGTTAAGCCACTTCGTTGAGCTAACATTTGTGGCCCGGGTGCATCTGAAAAATAACTATACAGCTCAGTGGGCCCCGACGTGGGGAAATAGTTTAGTTGAGTTTTAATTTGTCTCATGAAAGTCAAACCAATATTTCAAACAACCTCATAGTCGAGTGCAATCCTTACTCCGTGCAAAGATGAACGAACGGGTTAGCTTACCGCTCTTACAGGGTTTCCAAAATAACCCTTTGTCTCGCGACGGAATGTCGAGAGCACAATGGGAATAACTTGGGAAAAGATCCCAAAAAACATGGTCGCATTTACGCCGCATTATAGTCAAACGGTTTAGCACTGTAGTGTAAAGGACACTGACACAAATTTTAGCTTATTCCTTTAGGAAATAACTTCATGGAAAACAAATGGGAACAATTAATGGTTCACATAAGTGAACACATTTAGAGTTAATTATAATGAGCCCGGGCAGAAAATATCTGCAACGTGTCTTTTTTTTCCCGTTTACAGACAGGGAAGTGAAAAAACACATTTCTATTCGAGTGTTTAAATACATGTGCATAATATAACAAGTGTTTTCAGTTTTATTTTTTCCCAAGCACAGGAAAACTCGAAGATTAGGAAACAAATGTTCGCGTGTGCGTGCGCGGGGTGCGTGAAGCAGCGTCATGCTGGTGAGCGCACTGCGCCACAAAACCCGGCGATCAGAGTTCGATGCCCGGTCAGACGCGATCGCTGACGCCAACAAGACTTGCCTGGCGAGGGCTCCGTGTCGCCTTCCGTCTCGGTCTCTTCTCCGTCAATGTCCCCGTCACGTGGATACCTTCCGCCGTTCTTCAGCAGCTCTGCGATGACGAAACGACATGGGGCTTCACACACACGTTCTAGAATGCTGCTACACTCCTTGACAGAAACGATCATTCATACACACACACACACCTGTTATAGAATGCTGCGACACTCTTTAATAGGCACGATAATTCACACGCGCGCAAGTTCTAGACCACCGCGGCTAACAGACATGATAGTTTACACGCACACACATTCTAGAACACTGCGATATTAACGGAGAGACACGACAATTCACAAGCACAAACATGTTATTACAATGCTGCCACACTCTTCAATAGACACGATAATTCACACACATATGCTGTAGAACACTCCGAGACTCATCAACAGACATGATAAATCGCACGAGCGCACACACACGACCATCCCCAGGCATGCACGTTCTAGAATGACACAATACTTCTGAACAGACACACGATCATTCACACGTGCGCAAATACACTTTCATAGTGTGTGGTAACACACCGACAACATTGCGAGATGCAATTAGCATGAGTAACGCTATATAAGACTGAAATTATTAACATGTGATTTCCAGGCAAGCGTTGGGAGGACACCCAGAATACGTGAAACTCCTCACCACCGCGAGGCGGCTGCCAAATGGCGGTACAGCAAGGCAGATTGTGAGCCTTTGCAGAAGCGCGAGTGTTTTTTCCAGGTATTCCAGTTTCCTCCCACACTCCTTTATGGAACTGACCACGTTACACGTTGCGGTACATCGACACACGTGCACATTGTGACCAATTACTCTCCTGTATGCACACACAAAGATCCCCCGTATAGCCTGAATAGACTGTTGGGGCAAGAGCTGTTAGCGAGCACCTATTAAGGCCAGTACGGCACACGTGAGGGTGGGTGGCCAGCACCACGCCCTGCCGCCTTTGTTTCCCCAGTGGCGATGTTTACACACCGCACCAGATACTTATTTAAGGCCGAGTCGACCTATGGGAGGCCCAGGACCGGATCAGTTAATCGGCACTGGTGTTCGCCATGAGTGGGAATCGGAATCGGGTCACCGGGTTCGTAGCGCAGCGTGTTAACTGCTACACTACCGCTCCCCACTGTGCAGACACCCACACACACGGCTATAAATGTTTGGCATGCAGGAGAAAATCAGCATGGCTAAGCTGTCATCTCCCAGCCAACTTTACCAGCCCAAGCCAACAACACCTAATATTCCCAGGCAGTCCCTCAATCAGGTGCTAACCAGGTACAGACCTGCTTGGCTTCCGGGACCTACCGCAATTCGGGTACACTCAGGGTGACTCGGGTATGTGTACGGAATACCACACTTTCTATAAACCGATCGCTGTGGTCCAATAATTTAAACTGGGTCCCACCACAGGAATGTTGAATTTTAACCACTGGATCAGAGCCATCAAAGCACACAGAGTAATGCCCCATTGTTCACTGTTGAGGCGGGAGACACTTGACTGAACTGACTTGTCACCAAAGTTGGGAGCCATGAGCCGCCGCTGCTCCCATCGCAGTGTGGTATATGTGGTAGTGTGGGTGGCGGTGCAGGTGGTGGTGCGGGTGGCGGTGCGGGTGGCAGTGCGGGTGGCGTTGTGGGTAGCGTTGTGGGTGGCGGTGTGGGTGGCGGTGCGGGTGGCGGTGTGGGTGGCAGTGCAGGTAGCGTTGTGGGTGGCAGTGTGGGTGGCAGTGTGGGTGGCAGTGTGGGTGGCAGTGTGGGTGGCAGTGTGGGTGGCAGTGTGGGTGGCAGTGTGGGTGGCAGTGTGGGTGGCGGTGCGGGTGGCGGTGCGGGTGGCGGTGCGGGTGGCGGTGCGGGTGGCGGTGCGGGTAGCGTTGCGGATAGCGTTGTGGGTAGCGTTGTGGATAGCGTTGTGGGTAGCGTTGTGGGTAGCGTTGTGGGTGGCGTTGTGGGTAGCGTTGTGGGTAGCGTTGTGGGTGGCGTTGTGGGTAGCGTTGTGGGTAGCGTTGTGGGTAGCGTTGTGGGTAGCGTTGTGGGTAGCGTTGTGGGTAGCGTTGTGGGTGGCGTTGTGGGTAGCGTTGTGGGTAGCGTTGTGGGTGGCGTTGTGGGTGGCGTTGTGGGTAGCGTTGTGGGTGGCGTTGTGGGTGGCGTTGTGGGTGGCGTTGTGGGTGGCGTTGTGGGTGGCGTTGTGGGTAGCGTTGTGGGTAGCGTTGTGGGTAGCGTTGTGGGTAGCGTTGTGGGTGGCGTTGTGGGTGGCGTTGTGGGTGGCGTTGTGGGTAGCGTTGTGGGTGGCGTTGTGGGTGGCGTTGTGGGTGGCGTTGTGGGTGGCGTTGTGGGTAGCGTTGTGGGTGGCGTTGTGGGTGGCGTTGTGGGTAGCGTTGTGGGTGGCGTTGTGGGTGGCGTTGTGGGTGGCGTTGTGGGTAGCGTTGTGGGTGGCGTTGTGGGTGGCGTTGTGGGTGGCGTTGTGGGTAGCGTTGCGGGTGGCAGTGTGGTTCGCGGTGCGCCTGGCTGTGGTGAGTGGCGGTGCGCCTGGTGGCGCGCCTGGTGGTGTTGGTGTACCGTGCGCCTGAGCGAGAAGATCGCGCGTGCGGTCGTTCTCCGTCGTCAGCTGCTCGATTCGGGTGAGGAGGGCACTCTCGTGCGTCTCCATGGCGGCCAGACGTCGCTCCAGCTCCTCCTGCGACGACTCGTCCTTCAGCGCGGACTCGCACAGAGCGGCCTGCAGCACGAGGGAGGAGGTCGTCGTAGTGGCAACGGAGACAATTCTACGGGCACAGTGGCGCACGCCTCTGTCATCCAGCTCCTGGGGGGCTCGCGCATATTTGTGAAACTCCAAAAAAAAGCTGCTGTGCTGCGAGGTACTTGCTGACCCGTCCCTACTGGACATCTGTGAAAAAGAACTTCATAGCTCATCGGATTCCTCCAGCCTAAATACACATATTGCTTCTGATACACGAGGGGGCAAGCATCGAGTGGATTCGTGAACCCGTTTGCGTCGACCTTTGAGTGGTTACTCCCTCGTATTCTGGACTAGTTTTTCTTTTCTTTTCCTCCAGCTTCTCTGGTTTCCTCCCACGCGTAAAACACTCCTTCGAAAAGTATTGGTCAAGCAACACGTGCGCGCGAGAGCGTGCGTCACCTGCAGCTGCTCCTCCAGCTGTGCCACACGCTGTGCCGCCCGCTCTCTCTGCAGCGCGAGCTCCTTGATCTCGGCCCGCGACGCCTCCTGCACGGCCTGGAGGTGCACGAGCTCCTCATCCGAGCAGCGCAACGCACACTGCAAGCAAAGACAAAAGGCCCCACACGCAAAGCCTCAAACGGGCCGCTGGAGCAAGCGCCGTTGGCGTGTCGCACCCACGAAGGCGCACGAGGGGCTGGCGTGGCCAGGATCGTGCCCGGCTCAACCTTGTCTCCTCAGCGGCGATGTCCATACGCCGCACAGGATGCTCATCCGAGGCCGAGTCGACCCAGGCAAAGGCCCTGGGAGCAGTTGCGAGGTTCGGCGCGGGGCGTGTGCGGTGGGAGCGCCGGCGAGCGCGAGGCACCTGCGCGCTGGCGAGCTTCTCGTGGGCCTCCACTTTGTCCTGCAGCGCTCGCCTCAGCGCCTCCTTGGCGGCCGTCTCGTACTGCCCCTTGTCGCACTGCAGCAGCTCCAGCTCCTTGCGGAGGCACTCGTCCGACAGAGTCTGCTGCGCACGCGCGAGAGGGACGCGCGGGAGCGAGCGAGTGACGCCGGTGGTGCATTGGATAACCCCCCCCCCACCACCACCACCACCACCACCCATATAATAGCTAGCGCTGAGAGGTACACAGGAGTGGGCAGTACAGAGAGTGGGTTGGTGAACCCGTTTGTGTAGACCTTTGGGGTTGTTAACCCCCTCGTATCCTTGACAAGTTTATTTTTTTCTCCAGGTACTCCGGGTTTCCTTCCGTATGCAAAGCACTCCATAAAAAAAATTGATTGGCTTAAACGCCGCAATGCAGGAGGACCCCTGGGTTTGTGCGTGTGCATATGCCACCTGCAGCTGCTCCTCCTTTAGCGTGAACACAACGACGCGGCAAGAGTTGTTAGCGAGCACGTCGCTACCGGGCTGTTAGGAGTGTAGGAATTCAGGGCCATGTTTGACAAATTTGACGATCCACAATCGCTACGTTTTCTAGAAAGAAGGCTTCAGTTAAGAGTAGGTGGATTCACCGGATTAAACAAGTTGATTATCAAATTCACTGTGCGACCGACTGTGGAGAGATCATTTTATGACAAGAGAAAAATTGTATTTGGCAAGGCCGATAACAGCCTTATATTGCAATTGCTGCTCCTCTTGACATCAACTGGATGTGCACCCAGGTCACGGGGGGACATTGCAATTGTGCGTGTCGCCCCTCTCAACACTACGATGCCAACACACACTCACAGAGGAACATGAACAACGGGTTACCAATAAACACATCGTAGGAAGTAACTCGGCTTCTTTGCATACAAATGTACACAAGTCGAGTCCTTATCATTCTCCAATTCCGGAACCATTGTAACGGCCACTGCACCGATTCATGCCCTGTTTTTACAGTAGCACTCGGACTAGAGCTGCCTGCAGATGTAGAATCCATCTGCGGGCAGCGTCTTTCAACTTAAAAACGCATTGCCTGCATCCAAATGCATTTATTTGACAAAGTATAGGAAGAGGTTTTTTTGGAAGGATGTACAACCGATTTTACTAAACACCTTTATTTGACTAAGTGGTAGAGAGCCTTGATTGTGCCCGCAGTCAACCTTCTCTCGGTGGGAGGCTGATCATTCACCTCGGCTACCTCCAAGTCTGCGACTTCCTTCCCCAGCCACCCATGCTGTCGACTCCCTGACTGTATTCAAGTCCAGGGTTCTTGAGATAATTGCATAACAGCGCAGGCTTAATGTGAAGAGAGACAGGCGATAATAATAAGACTCACCTTGGAATAGGCCATAAGTCTGTTCTCCAGTGTCTCCAGACGGGATAGCAGCTTATCCTCAATGATGAGAGCCTGACACAGAGAGGCAGATACGACGCTGCTACATTCAAAAATATCACTGCTAATCACAGCTTTACACACTGTGTTTCTTACATTTTAAGAGCACCAAGAATTGGTTACATTTGTGGCGACTGAATCGGAGACACTAAGAGTTGGAGGCACTCTATTTATGAACACGCACCAGCAGGTTAACACTTCCAAATAATCCGTCTATAGTCGACTACGGTTCCCAGTCAGGACAGGTGGTAGACTGCCTCTGACTGGCGACGCCGAGATGGTGAAGACAGAGACGACAGTAAAGACTCCAGCAGCAGCACGATGGGGATCCCACTCCAAGCGACAGCCACGAGGTCCTCTCTCAGCGTGGCCTGGCTCCGCCCCCGGCCACGCCCCCTTTCTAGAACCTACCCGCGGGTACCTGGTGTGTCCCTTCCGTGACCTTTCCCCTAGATCCCCCTCTGGTGTATCACGTGACCTGCTGTCAGTCAGGGCTACTGTAAGCTGCAGATCCCCTTTCCTGCCAGCAGACAGCGATATGCTGCATACATAGCTAAATCTATGTCACCACACATTTATTGTTACATAACAGATTTTATGAACTTATCACTGCATTAATCTATGACCCATCATAATCCACCACGACAGTGCATAATGAGTTTTATCTCGAATGTTATTGCGTTCATTATTCATTCATGCTCGTGAACGCAGGAAAGCCTCACCGAGTCTCAACTCTTTTTCAGGAGGGTCCTTTATGTGTCTATGTATGTTGAACTAATCTGAGCTGCAGAGGAAGGACAACTAAACACAAGAAGCAGTTCTAAAGAAATTAGTTTTCGTCAAACTGATTTAGAAGTGCATAGCTCCAGTGGCTTCCTAAAATCGGCAGGAAGAGCGTTCCAGACAGCCGCAGAAGCGCATCTGAAAGCGCGCGATGCGGTGAAGTTTTCATGAAGGGGGACGATGTTGTTCGGTGTAATCCCCTTGAGATGTCTTACCAATACCACTTACACTGCTTGTGTATATGCGTGAGTGTTTTCATTTGCGAGGCCCAGCGAGGCCACGACACCACCATGTCTCGCTGGGGCCAGGGCAACGTCGTTACCTGCCAGCCATCGTCGGACGCGCGCTGCGCGCTCTGCAGCAGGGTCTGCAGTGCCGACAGCTTCTTGTGCAGGAGCTGCTCACGATAGAGGGCCTCCTGCACACGCAGCGCGAACAGGATCGCAACTCCCAGTTGGACATTTACGGGTGGACCACAACCGTAACCGCACACGGCCGAATGAGCACCGCTGTGAAGTTGATTTAAGAGCACGTGCGCAAATAAAGAAGAAATGTTACATTTCGATTTAAAGCTTTCGTGACTGCAAGGATTCATCTTCTTTGGTTCTTTCGGTAAAGTCACGTAGAATCAGAATAAAATAATAAAACAACACAATAAATGAAGCTCCGTCGTCCCGACAGATTTGTTCCTTTCACCTGAAGAAGGCTATTTTGTGTTGTGGCCGAAACGTCGTGAGAATTTTATTGTGTTATTTTATTATTTTATTCTCATTCTACGTGACTTTACCGAAAGAACCAAAGAATAAAAATGTTACATTTCAGCCTCGCCCAAGTTGCGGGGCGCTACGGACCTGTAGGTAGTGGGACAGTTGGTGAAGGTCCTGTAGTTTGAGTGTGGTGGAGGAGTTTGCCTCCGGCTGTGAACACACACGGGGGCGTCACGCGCGACGGTCAGCGCAAAACCAGGAAGCACTCGTCAGTCAACACAAACCAGTCAGTGTCATCGTGATATTCATCGCAATTGTAGTTGTCATCATCGTATTAGGTTTGTGGTTCAGGTGACCAGGTATGGTGGCAATAATGCACACCTGTAATACATCACCGTCACCATCGTATAATTCCCAATTAACAACAATGGGTTGCCAATCTGATTGGGATGAGTCACCAGTTCTACCAAGAGCCATAACATAAAAGAGAACACACACACTCTGAGTAATGAGGTGGTGTCCCATAGGGAGCAGCACAGCCGATAAGTTTCTAACGCACCTCCGATTAGCACGGTTGGCTACGTACGGCGCGAAAGAAGCTCAACATACATACACAAACATGACAGGCTACCTACAGAGTAGTGGTCCTCAGTTCTGTTCCCATGACCACCCTCCCCCGCACAGTACGGATCTGCATCCTTCCCAACCATCAGGCGTATGCAGTGTGTGGTGGCTTAATTTGCATAAGAAGAGAAACGATTGGTAATCACGAAAAGGTGGACTGTGGGGTGGATGTCTTGTGGACTGGAGTGCAGAAAGACTACTATTAAATAAGATACGCCGACTTCAATACTTGCTTCATAGCTGTCTCTACACAACCGATTGGGCTGCAACGGCCTTCTACGAGTGCATAATTTAAGCAGCACCGATTTGGTACAAAAAAAACACAGTTTTAACATACAGCGTCAAATTAGCAAACCAACCATTAAAAGATTGTCCTCTTTTTTTGTGATCGGGTTACATTCTAGTTTCTTCCCACATGTGTAAAAAAAACTCCAAGGAACAGGCCTCTAACATCCCAAACAGGACACCCTCCTCAAAATGAGCACTCAATGAGCAGCGAGCCTCTCCTGGGTAGAGGTGGGACACTTGTACATGATTCCAGGAGGTGCTTACCTTGACAGATGCGCTGTCCACCCTGCGCACACAGAGAGAGACAAAAACAAAAACGATTTAAATATATCTCCACGAGAACTTTCCCGTCGGCTTCATCTCGTGCAATTCAAAACCACTTACCAATGGCATTGTATCTGTAAACCTGCTGTGTTTATTGCGTCAGTGTATCAAACATATGCACGTAAATTAAAGAATCTAGCCACGTCTAATGTACGTGTGTGACTGCATGTGTTTGTGCACCAATGTGTGCGTGGTATGGTGTTTTGCACATCGAACTACAAAACCCGGTGGCCTGGCTTTAATTCTAGACCATGAATAACATTGGTGACAATGGTGTTTAATTCAAGACCATGAATAACATTGGTGACAATGGTGTTTCATTCTCTCCTCGCTCACTGTGTGTGGAAGCTGCCTGACCTATCGCTTCGCACGAAGCTCTGGGTGGGTGTCCTTGGCCACAACCATGAAAGCCAAAGGTGAGATTGCTTTACAGGAACACCTGGGCCAGCTATAAACATTCATGCTGGCCACCCTAAGACCAATCCTGGATTAAGTCAGGCTGTATCGCGTGAGGGGCTCATATTTACTTGAAATATATGGACACAATCCTGATAGGGAGCGTCTTCTGCATGGATTGAGTTTGTTGGGTCAAGTAGCACACAAGCCCGGGCCACTGCATGCCCAAGCAGCTTCTGCCTCGCCAGATCGAGGCAGTTAGTGTGGTACAATAGGACTTAGCAAAAGGGGACATATCAACACACCGTAAAGACGGTGTCAGAATCGGCCTCTGTGGAGTAGGCTCATGTAGTACGCTATGGAGCAGTTGCAGACAGCTGCCCTCGGCAACAACGGCGGGCAGTGGAACGACACTCCCAACAATGGGCAGTGCGTGCCGGGCAAATAAACAGAGCCAGGTGTCAGAGTGGGGAGCACAGTTTGCCCCCATCTGCGAGTCATCACAGTCAGGTAACACACAACACCTGGACCCGTCCTGCGAACCTCGCATAAGCGAGCCATCGACACGGCACGTGGCCACAAAGTGCACCGAGCCTAGCGCAACTTGTGTGGTGACATCAGCGCCACTTGTTGTCGAAAAGTGGGGCTGTTGTTGTTGTTGTTGTAGTGGTATATGCTTACTCAGGCCTGCGTTTGTACTCCGTTCCATCTGGTAGTAGTAGCTTCACCATGGTGATAATGCAGCCGTGAGTGACTGCTCAGGAAGGGGTGGGAGGCAGGGTCCCAAATGTGAGACCAACATCAAAGACAAAGATCCCCCGCATAGCCTTAACAGACTGTTACGGCAAGTGCTGTTACAAATCACCTATAAAGGCCTGCACGGCGCACGAGGAGGTGGGTGGTCAACACCACACCTGGCCGCCCTTGTCCGCCTAGTGGCGATGTTTACACATCGCACCAGGTTCTCATTTGAGGCCGAGTCGACATTAGAAAGCCCCAGGACCAGTTCATATTAATGGATTACATGCGATTCCTATACTCAGGAAATATGCATGTGACAATTAATTATTTGTGATTTTGGCAAATTATGAGAAAATATAATTATTGTTATCCGGCTTCATGGTGCAGCGACAGTGAGCATGGCCTGCATTCGGAAGGATGACAGTTCAAATCCCATTTGGGGATCGACTCAGCCTATCATCTATCCAGAGGTGATAAAATAAGTACTACTTTGTGGAGAGGTCAACAGTGGTCGTCTTACGAAAACACCAATCCCCACCATAGACACGGGGAATTTCCACCACTGGCTCACAGCCCTAAACGGGAGCTGGGTGCCTCCCCATGCTCAATTGGACAGGAAACCAATGTTTTGATGTACAAATTATAAACCGTAACAAATTTCTCCACACGCATATTAATAAACCAACCAACATTGCAGTCCGGCAGGTTCAAGGCCTTCTGGACCAACGTTTTATTGGACGCATTTGTTTAAGCAGTAAATCCCTGAGCTGTTAAAACGTTGGAAGATATTACTGGCGAACACACATAACAAAAGCTATTAAATGCAAATGTTGCCTTTTAATTTGCGGGACAAATGAGACTGAGCAAACCATAGCGTACAAAACAAGCCAAAGGAGACCAAAAAAATACATTTACACTCAAACCAATGCATGCCAATTCATCGAATTGCTATTGGAGCAAATCATCACATGCCAGTGAATGCAGATGCTCATTGCCAACGGCTTAAAGTGTTGGCTAAGCGCGATGCTGTTCCAGTTATTTGCAGGAGCCTTGTGCCACCTGGTGGACATTGCACATTCGTGAGGCAGATGACGTGTTCTTGGCTTCAGAGTAAATTGAAATAAGCCCGCCGAGACCAGATGTCTCTCTTTGCAACGGAGAACCGAGTAAAAATAAATGAATCACGTGGAAAACAGGTCCCAGAGTACACATAATTAAAAGCGAACTCATTAAAGGAAATGATGTCAAAACAAGATAAAAGAGAATACAACGAATACAAAGAGCATTCAGGTGTAAATAAAATAATGAAAAATTCAGGCGTAAACAAAATACACGTGACAATTAAAAAAAAATTTAAGTATATATTTAAATGACATTCAATGAAACATTTAAATACGAATATAATATTCTTTGGTTCTATTGGGTAAAGTCACGGAGGTAAAAAATAAAAAATCACGACGTTTCGACCACAACACAAGCGGCCTTCATCAGGTGAAGGGACGAGACTGTCTGGAGGACAGCGCTGGAGTGAAAAAAGCCACGCTCAGATCACGACCTTTGAGCTGTGTGAGAAGAAACAAAGCGCCTTGACAAAGGAATTAGCATATAATTAGCATTGAAATGGCTCATTGAAATAGCTAAGTTAAAGTATACACATCCGCAGAGGCACCCCTTGACAAAGGAATTAGCATAGAATTTAGCATTGAAATAGCTAAGTGATTAGCTTGTAACTGGTCACAGAAATAGCTATGTTAAAGTCAGAGCATATATATTCACCGAGGCACCTAGCACAAATCAAACAAGAGAATTTAGCGAAACACAACCACGCTCAGACCGCGGACCTTTAAACTGTGTGTGAGCAAACAAGGTGTCCTGACAAAGAAATTAGCATAAAAATTAGCATTTGATTGGCCAATTTCAGAAAAGAGGTGGTGTACGTGCCGGTGGACTTGCCGTTTGGCGCGGGGGGGGGGGGGGAGTTTACCTATTGATGGTGTGAAAAGGGAATTTATATTCTTAGATGTTCTGTTTGAGAGAAGACCTGATGGCTCATTGGGGCATTCTGTCTACAGGAAACCCACCCACACAGATTCCTACTTGAAACCTGATTTCCACCACCACCCAGCCCAAAATAATTCTCTCATCAAAACTTTATACCATAGGGCTCATTGCATTTCGGACCAACACCACCTGACCAGTGAATTAAAACATGTACACCTGGCCCTCAAAAGGAATGGTTACTCTGACCGTACCATCCGCCAAGCTGTTTCTCCCTCCATACAGAAACAACCACTTTATACTCCGGTCAAAACCATCACACTACCACATATAGCAGGCGTTACTAAAAAGATTTCCAAAATTCTAAACAAACACAAGATCCAGGTCCGGTTCAATACAGTACACAAAATTCGTGATCTGATCCCATCCGTGAAGGATGTCATTCCTGACTTACAGTACCCCGGGGTTTACAAATTGAGTTGTACCTGCGGTGATTGCTATATCGGGGAGACAAAGCGACATGTCTCTGACCGAATTCGCGAGCACAAATCAGATTTGAAACACGGCAAAACGAATTCTTCTGCCGTGGCTGATCACTGTTACAACGCTGTGGGTGATCACGATATAATTTTCTCCGATACCAAGGTTCTTTGCAAACCCACGGGTTTTTATCAGAGATTTGTTCACGAGGCAATTGAGATCTACAAACACAGACACAATTTCAACCGAGAAGATGGTTTCAAATTAAGCAACCATTGGAAAGATATTCTAAATCGAACTAAACATTAAACTAATTTCAATGGTACAGTATATTTTTCAAGTAGTGGTACCCCAAACTTTCGCAGCTCTTATAAATTCCCTTTTCACACCATCAATAGGTAAACTCCCCACCCCCCCCCCCCCCGCGCCAAACGGCAAGTCCACCGGCACGTACACCACCTCTTTTCTAAAATCGGCCAATCAAATGCTAATTTTTATGCTAATTTCTTTGTCAGGACACCTTGTTTGCTCGCACACAGTTTAAAGGTCCGCGGTCTGAGCGTGGTTGTGTTTCGCTAAATTCTCCTGTTTGATTTGTACTAGGTGCCTCGGTGAATGTATATGCTCTGACTTTAACATAGCTATTTCTGTGACCAGTTACAATGTAATCACTCAGCTATTTCAATGCTAAATTCTATGCTAATTCCTTTGTCAAGAGGTGCCTCTGCGGATGTGTATACTTTAACTTAGCTATTTCAATGAGCCATTTCAATGCTAAATTATATGCTAATTCCTTTGTCAAGGCGCTTTGTTTCTTCTCACACAGCTTAAAGGTCGTGATCTGAGCGTGGCTTTATTCACTCCAGCGCTGTCCTCCAGACAGTCTCGTCCCTTCACCTGATGAAGGCCGCTTGTGTTGTGGCCGAAACGTCGTGATTTTTGTTATTTTATTTTTTACCTACGTGACTTTACCCAATAGAACCAAAGAGTATGGATCCTAGCAGTCACGAAAGCTTTAAATCTAGAAACGAATATAATATTTGAAAGAAATATTTCCATGTACTTCATGACATGCGGTCGCAGTGGGATTAACCGCTTCTTTTGCGTGGGAAACTAAAAAAAATCATAAGTTGAAACATTTGTAGGATTAATTATTTAATAGCTATTATTTTTTTAATGGCATACTGGGAAAAAAACACTGGCAACCAACGAACTACTCTTGCAAAATAACATCCACCATCCTTAACGCCCACTTTCCAAACACACACAGACACCACACCAGGAATAAAAAACATTGATTGTGCTCGTTTTACCCAGGAACATATCACCGAGTCTCAAGACTATTTTTAAAGAGGATCCTGCCGAGTTTTTCATAGTAGGGGATGACGTTGCTGTGTGCAATGCCAATTGGGTAACTTGCAGGCAATTCTTCATCACTGGGATGTTTGGTGAAACACCGTACCAATTACAACGTATGCTTTTTTCAGCGTTGGAAGTAAAACAGAGAGCCCAGAGACAAGCAAAACAGCGAGAGAACGCAGAAAACCGCCCAAAGCCTTCTCGCTGTGAGCCTCAAGTGTGACCACTACACGGCACCCTCCCCCACAACCCATACTCGTATACACTTAAACATCAGCAGGCATTGGAAACATGGACTCTGACCAAAAGGTCACACTGGGCGGCGAAAGCCTTGCGACCGCAACGGTACCCACTCCTACGCACCCCACCCCGGCTTCCACCCCCCTCCCCTCCTGCCCCCCCCCACCCCGCCCGCCACCGTCTCTCACCGGCCGACGCCAACTCACCCTTGCGAGCGTTCTCCGTTACGTCGACGCCAAACTGCAGCACGTCCCCCGAGTAGAGCTGGTAGGGGGCGCTCTCCTCGCCGCTCTTTCCCAGCCGCTGCCCGTTCACGAACGTGCCGTTGCTGCTGCGCGTGTCCTGCAGCAGGAACTGGTGCGAGAGGGGGGGGGGGGGAGAGCGGGAAGCGAGTTGAGAAGACGTTGCCGCCACGTGGGGATTTTCGCCGTCTTTGGCGCCTGGCACGACGTCCGGTGTTTCGCCCCACGCGCTGGAAGCTTCTTTTCTGTTCGGTTCCCAAAGAAGGTCCTGGCGCGTGGAGTGAAACGTCGGACAACGCGTGGTACGGCCCCCCCAAAGGCAAGTTGGAGACGTCGAGACGTATTCTTTCATTTATTTTCTATCCTCCACAGCTCAAGGCAAACGTTTTAATTTGCACATTGCTTGTCAATGTTACTATACAAGTTATACACTGGATAATGTTAACATTGATTAATAATAAGCATGTAATGAAGAATCAATTGATCAATTCACGTAAAATCTTACCTTGCGATACCTACATCGAATCATGAGTGTGAACAGTGGCGAAATAAACATTAATGCAACTGATATATGGATCATGTGGCATTTGGACTATTTGGACACTTGGACTAATACAGTGAACACGACTGGACAATTGAGACGATAAAAACGAGGAACAATACAAAAGAGATGGAAGAAGAGAGATAAAGGGAGTGGGGAGTTTTGAAGTGGATGGGTGGCTCAAGGGTTAGAGCACAGAGACCTGGGTTGTGAATGTGGATTTCAGGCGATCCGTGATTAACATGGGTCCTCCAGTGTAACAAACACTGGAGTATTACAATTTCGTTTTTAACATCATTTGGCTACATTGAAGGCTCTAAGAATGGAAAAAACAAGTGCCTGACTGCTAAGCGATGATTAGTCATCCTTAGCATGGCGTTTGAGAACATTCGCTCCGTATTGTGTGGCTGGAAAAAAAAAGGTCCCAGGAATAGTAACGTGATATCTTGTTCCATAGGCTGGTCTTTTAATGTATGCAAGGCTTTAGGGGGAGTTCCGCATATATCATTCTTCCCTTCATGAAGATGCAAAATAATGTAAACAAAAAATCCAGTTTTATTTCAATTTGCGCTATCGGGATAATGCCTTCATCTCGTGACAAGATGCTGATAGCACGATTGAAATAAAACTTTAATTGAGACAATTCATCAACTCGCCCGGGAGGGAAACCGTTGTGTCAAATTGTTACTCGATAAATCCAGCCACATGGTTTTGTGACAAGAGCACTTGACACAATCGAAAATTTAAAGGTTCAAATCCCCATTAAACGCCGACTCGTCATCTCTCCACACTCAATGAAATAGGTCCGACTTCATAGGAAAGTCATTATATGAAGACTGGCCACTGCAATGGGAATGTGGAATTTCCACCACTGGCTCTGGGCTGCCAACAGAAATGAGTGCCGCCTTTTACAGATACCGCGCTCAAGAACCCTGCACAATGGTGCCACTGCGCAATTACCCCTCATTGTACACAGCCCGTCACGGGCCATGGTACATGCTATGAAATTCAATGATGTGGTGGAGCAATCGTTGGCACGCTGCACTTGCGAACACGGAGTGGCAGTTGAAACGATGGTGCCAGTTTCTTAAATATCACCCCCGCCTCTGTCCACCCAGCAGGATAGTTGGATGCACCACAGTCTACCGGCAGGTTGCGAGTGGCGGGGTAAGGTATAAGTACTCCCCTACCTATTCCAAGAGGTCTTACCAGCATGAAAGAGGAAGTCAAATACCCTTCAGAGGGGCTCCCGAGGAGCTCTGTCCAGTGGAGGCATTTCAGGGCTGTCCCTTTATACTTTGGCAAGTACACAAAAAAGTGTCTCGAAATGCATTTCCTTTAGGATGCTTACGAATTCTAATTATGAATATCAAGTACGACAAACTGGTGCCACCCATATAATCATGTCGGTGGCACCTTCACTTTTTAATAAATGCGGTAGAAATTTGGACTATCATCACTGGTAGCACTTTAAGCATCAGCCAAGGTTAAAGAGCATCAATACCCACACGACCATGGTGGCAACGGTGTGAATAGTAACATCATGGACATACAGCACGATGGGTTTGCGGAAGTAAAAAAAAATGTGCAGGATTGCGTGGCTGCCCGATTCAAAGCTCTCTTTTAATCGGCACGCTGTGTACAATGCTCGCAATTCCTATTAGCAGGCTACTGAAGAAACATGACGATCAGCATTGGACTGTTTAAAATCACTGAGTCGTTTAAATGTATTCCTTGAAACTACAGTTTGGCCAAATTATGCCAATTGGTTGAGGGACGATGGAGAAACCATCAGACAAACGATGAATAAATACAATTTGGGGTGAATTCTCGAGTGGTGAGGATTGTGGGGTCACAACAATCCTCAAAGCATCAACTTGGAGGTCGACATTGAGTCAGGAGGTGGAAGCAAGACAAATAGGTTGCTGATCAATCTCTGCGAATTTGTGATCGTGATGCGTGTTCGCCTTAAAACAGTCGTTCGCTTTCAGCACGCACATACATCCAGTCCCAGCAGTCACAAATATTTTGACTCTCGCAAATAATAATAATAATCACACACAACAACAAAATCCAGCTTCGAATAGAATCTAAATGTGACCACGTCTGAAGAGGCAAGAGCATCGAGGGGGGACTTGGACGAAAGGAGAGATTGATTATTTCTGGACGTGGCTGGGGAATGCACGGCAAACTCCTCCGTGAATTCCTAGGATTTTTTTTGTTTCATGTTTATTTTGTTTAACCAGGTGAGAATTCAAGAGTCCAGGAAAGTCTCATTTGTAAGTTGTGAACCGGAGCATGAGTCTGCCAGGAGGGTGCGATGTTTGCTACGTAGATTCCTAATTGAGTAATTTGCGGGTAATTTTCGACTATGGCTTAGTTGGATCCTGACACCTCCACACGATGGCCTACTCTTGCGAATGACATCAGGGGATCTATTTAACGTCCACTGCGAAGCAGACGGAATGTAGTAGTAGCATTATGGCAATTCCACGTGCAGTAACAACCAGGGCAGCTGCTGGAGTACTACCATAAACCTCTGCAACAAGCGGTGAATGTGCCACAGCTGGGCCGTGTCACCACCCGATGGAAACATGCATCAATTCATCTATAGATGTTGACCTTCAAAAGCTCATAGCACACACCATCAAACTGCATGTGTAAGATTCAATCTAATTTTAAATTGGGTACGTTGTGAGCCCTGCAGCCACTAGAGGTGCTAACATTCAGTGACCTAAAACAAACATTATCGAATTGAATTGTGATCTTGAATCGCAACATTTCAACGGGGAGGTGTAAATAGTAAATACTCCAAACACGCTAAATAGGACCCTTTGTACAAAACAAGTTTTTCGACTCAGATTTTTCTCGACATATAACCCGTTGCTAGTAACCAGTAGACTAGCGTAACTAGTAACCAGGGAGAAACAGTGGTAGCTCACCACGCGACGCACCCAGTCAGTCTGGCCCCCCGTGCCTTTGGCAAACACAAATTAATTCGGAATCAATAAAAAAACACAGCACTTGCAATAATTACTGTGGCACTTAACGTTGCAACGGTGGACTCGTAATATGCTCCGCTCGTCTGCAGTGAGCACTCTGAAAAATACTTCATAGAGGTGACTGCGTGGCTCAGAGGTCGGAGCACTGAGCCAGCATTGCTAAGATATTGGATTTGGAACTGGGCAGCCACCCGTGATTAAACTGGGTTCTCGAGTGTTGCAGACTTGATGGTGGTCTCAGCCCAGTCACCAATTGGTGCATACAGAATTACTAATTATTAACATATTACCTATATTTATTATGTATTCATTCATCCAACTTTCAAGGATATTCATACAAGACGTATATTTGATGGCACACCACTGTCTAAATATTCCGTCTGTTACAATTCGCCTCTCCGATGGGTCGTTGCGATTCTAGGTCTCGGATGAATTCAAGAATTGATTCTCTCTTCTTACATTTCTGTGAACGTGGCAGCCTCTGGCTGCTGCAGGGGTGACTCTGTACCCTGTACATACAGCATAGAGGTGCATCACAGCGCATCGATTCGCCACACACAATTTCTTACATGAGACCCAAGGCGTCTCACCTCCTGGATTTACACATTCTTCCTCAAAGAAACTGGTGGAACCATCAGAACATCAAAAGACTCCTGCGCACATCTCTTTCATGAACGGAAAATAAACGACAAGCCACAGTAGTGCCACTGTGGTCATGCAACCCAAACGATGGACTGCATAACAAACCACTGTAGTCTGTGTTCCTTCAAGAGGAATAGCAAAACTCCATGAACTCTCCTGGAGCCCTCTTGTGGCTTGCAGACCTCTCCATTGGCATTTAGCTCCTGAGCAAGTTGCCATATGCAAAACTAGAATTATATGTACGTGGCTCAAGAATCGCAATTAACCGGTCAATTGTGCATCGTTACCACCCCTACTAAAGCTGTAAGCCTTGAGCTGATAGGCACATGACTTGCCACACAGCAGTTACACTAATCAAATGTTCTTTTGGTGCAGCTGTGTCATGAAACCCAAGGTCCAAATGGCAAAAGTGGCGATCGTTACGCAAAGGGAGCAGGTCAAATGCTGAATTCTCGTGCTGAAACAACGCTCGTAAAAAGTCTGATTTATTTGGTTTTGCCACACTGGGAGAGGAGGGCATGAGTGGGTATCTCATTGCCCACCAGTTACAAGGCGTTAATTACGTGTTGAATGAAACCGTACAATAATAGGCTCTACTTAAAATAATGCCCCTCTTGGATTGCGCAAAAAACGTGTGCCCCTGCGAGACAATGGAGCGCCCATTGGTGTAACTGCTTTCTGGGGGATACATTTTCTTCCTTCTCATCATCATCGTTTGCCATGACCTGTCCACTGCTGGATGGAGGTCTAATGTTGCAGTCACGAAAGCCATCACCAATCCACTGCTGGTTTGAGGCCGCCACAAGCCATCATGGATTCTAGAGTGAGGTACAATTTGTAGCATCTACTGTATATGCAAACCGCATCTCAAGAAGCTGTACCACAGAGTGATACTTTACTGTACTTTATTTTAACAGCAGAGACAGT